TCTCATGAAATACAAAAGTACCTGAAAACTGTGAAGTTCTTCTAGGAGGCAGAAACTGTTTTTTATGGGAGACATTTGGACACATACAAATAGGTTGAACATAAGGAGCTTTTAGTCAGTCCACTTAAAAGTTGCTCCAGGCCTTTCCTAGGGCTTCTGGGTGCACATCTTTCGCATTTTCTCCTGTGAACTCCTTAAAGCAGTGTATTTAGATTTCTATGTAGAACTGGACTGTATAAGCTGGAAGTGTTCATCATATTGTTTGGTATACCTCAGCAAAGCCAGTGCCCTGCTCTTAACCCCTCCCAGAAAATTGAACACTAGACCCCAAAAGCTCTCTCAGATGTCCTGTCAGAGGAATGGGAAGCAGACTTGATAGTAGGACGGGGCTATGTGGAGTGAGGAATAACCTGTTACACTGGTGAAGGTACTTCCAGTAAAGCTGTATTTGGAACTTTGATACTGCGGTTTCTGGTCAGTTAAAATCATTTGAGGACGTTCGTCTAAAGAGCTCCATGCAGAGGCATGGATTTTGTAGTCAAGAAAAAGGCTGGAGTTTTTAGGACCTCTGAATTTCCTATCTTTTCAGAAACCTTCATGACTTGGGATTGGGAATATTTATGTCCTATCTGGGCAGCCTCGATGGTTGAGGTTTGAGAGTAGATTTGGGCGCTGGAGTGGCTGAAAGTCACCCAGCTGTGCCACACTGCCAGACTTTCCAGCATCACGGGGTGATGACATTTAACTGGAGTTTGGTGCGGGACTGAGGGAGACTTTGAATCACCAGTAAACCCCTGCCACAACCATGGCTGCTGAAGGCAAGTGCCTGTGCCAAGTTGCTCTCCAGAAGCACCTATTTTGTCAACAAAGGTTTATAACATTATCAACCGGGACAAAGAGAGCATTACCCACTTGAGGGGCTGCTGTAAAGTCGCTTGCCCTTTGCTGCTTCTACCTCTGATTTTTGGGGGAGTGGGAGGGGAAGGGAAGTTGTAAGGCGCAGTGACAGTGGAGAGGGGAACGCAGTGAGAGGAGCCCCTGCTGGCATGGCCAGTCTGAGCCATTCAGCAGGGCTGAATACGATAAATGCTGCTTTATCCCTTCTTGAATGGAACAAGATAGCACAGCCTAAATGCCTGGGTGTGCTTAAATAGGCAACTCTGGGATGCTGGAGTTGAGGGCGTTTGAAATTGGAGCTCCCCAACAGCCAGGGAGCTGCCACAGGTCACCTGCCTCGCTCCGTGGGGACTGGCCTGGGTCTGGCAAGAAATCGTCCACGGACGAATTGTAGTACAAATTCCTTTCTCTGTTGGTTGGCCTCTTTCACTAGACCATGGCCTATAAAAAATTGTGTAAAAACAATTCTTAAATATTATTTGAAAGGGCAAACGGCCACGCTGAAAGGTTTGACAGTTTGACATATAGCGCCTGGTTCTGCTCGCCAGGGAACGGGCGTGCGGAGTCTGGGCTCTCCTTCTGCTCCTTACAGGCTCTGCATTTGCTTTTTTTTTTTTTTTTTTTTTAAATAGCATCTAGTTGCTGTGCAGAGTTGCTGTGCTCCCAGCAATTTGACAGGCAACGAGTCTGCTTCAGTGATCTTAAATCCTTTTAGACTAATTTGCGAGCGAGCAGAAAAACAGCTAGCACCTTCGGATCCAGCACTCAAAACCAGGGAATCAGGTATTGCCAATTAAAGTGCCATTTCCAACCATCATATCAAGACAGATTACTTGCAGTCCCTCTGATAATGTCACGCCATGCCTAAAGAGAAAGTGAGATGGAGTTTCTCCATGGACAAAGGATCTGCACGGACCAAACTGATCGGGGAGCGGGGCAGAGGGAGCGCGATGGGGATCATGCACACACCCATGCATATGTGCAGCATAAAGGCGAACGCTGCGCCCGCTTTGACCCCAAATAGCCATGGGCCATTCTGAAGAGCCTGTGGCCCCTCAGTCACTGGCCTACTAGTTAATTGCCACACGGACTTCGTGACACATGGGCAGATAATATGACATTTTCGGTTTCTGTCACTAGCAAACGCCACGGCGTTGCTTGCACTAGTTGCTAAGAAGCTGTCAGAAACCATTAGCAGCTGGCTAAAGTTGCCCTATGGCATTTCCTCATGGCATCAGCAAAACAAGCATAAATCACCCAGCGGAGCCTCCCGCTATACTAATGAGGCTGTAAGCTTGTTTATGGACTAGCATCATTTCTATGATTATTTCCACCTTTTCAGTTCGCCTTCATTTGGCGGCAGGAGAAGTCAACTCCAGGAACAGAGTTGCCACCGACATTTTACAAATGCAGTTCATAGCTGCTACCGTGTGGCTGGTCAGTGGTGCTTCAAGTTTGTTTAGTGATCTTTAAAAGGAAGAAAAGGGGTGGGGGGAAGAAAAGGAGGGGGAAATCTCTGGAGACCTCACAGAGGTGAGTGTATCGAGTTGCAAAGTAGATGGAAATACTAAAATCCACAATTGACCATTTAGACTTCTCTCTGTGGTTTCAGTCTTTACGGGATCAATTTTCCATTTAAAAAAAGTGGAAGAGGTTAAACAATTTACAGAAGTCTACTGAAGCATTTGCTCCAAGGATAGCCGGCCGCTTTCTTATCCTCTCCCCGCTTTTCACTTTCTCTAACTTGTGTCGGTCGAGGCCAGGGTTTATTGTTTTAGGCTTTTCTGAACATACACCAGTATTTACACTGGATTGAAAGCATTTGCTTCCAATGAAAATCTTGTCTTAGATTACAGCCCAGCAGTGTAATTTCCCTCCCAGATGGGAGTAAAGTAGCAGTATTTGCCTAAAAACAGTAGGAAGAACAAACTATGCATTAAGCCAAGGCTGTTTTTGGCTTGAGCTAATGATGTAACAGAAACCTTTTATTTGGGATAGGTCACTGCCCGGGATTGAAGGAGGTGATCTGGCTCGCGCTTGAAAGGTTTCTCCATTGTATCTACATAAGTCTTCACTTAAAAAATCCTGTTCCTAATGCTTCTGCTTTCATACAGCAGAAATAAACAGGAAAGGTTCTGGGGAGTGTTATAGGTGGAATGCAGAAAGCTTTTCCTCCCCTAATGGAGGATATAATTCAGGTGCCCTGGAGGCATGCTTTCAGGAATTCTTTTGCCCGAGGTAATGGGAAGCTAAGGCTGCTTGAAGGCCTTGATTATCTATTGATGCACAAAGCTGGAAAAAAAGTCATCTCCCTTGGATTATAGTAGATATTTCCATAAATTATCAATGAGTCCTCCTCCCGTCAAGCATGAGGCAATGCCTGCTAAATTAATCTGAAGGGGGTTTGAAATGAGTATATTTTTTTAAAAAATGGGGTGGGGGGAGAGGGTGGGTGGACGATGGCAGGGAGGTGGTGAAAGGCAGTGTCATTAGGTTAGAAGCTTTTCATTTTTAATCAATGAATGCGTAATACTTTTCTTTTCCTTGTTTGCCTCTTGCAGACAGAAAGTAGATTAGCCCATGGAATTTTAAATGCTGTTGAGTTGTTTCCTTTGCTCATGTTTCTTTTATGAATTATTATTTTATATGGTGAATTGCTTCTCTGTATAAAAGCCCTTTTTTACGTACTGAGCTTTCAAAGAATTGTTGGATATCTAATTTCTTCATAAAATCTTGTGTTTGTCTGTAACTATCCAAGGTTACAGTTTCATTAAAGACACAGACCAAGTCATAAGGACAATTATAAATTTGCCACGGTCAGTAACATGCTAAGAATATAACACTAATAATAGCTTTTTTTTTCCTTTTTTTTTTTTTCTTTGGTGCTGAAAGCTGTTTAACAAATCATGACAGTCTGCATCCCTTTTTAAAAATATATTTTATTTTTGTCCCTAACAGAGATAGTTTGTATTCAGCCAAACTGAGATTACTTTCTTCATCATTCTTGCCCGGGGGTGCAAAAACCACTTCCCTAATAACATCACAACTCTGTGTTGCTACAAATACAGGGTCTTTGGAAGCCAGGATATGTTGTTCAGTCCACATGCATTCAACGCAAAGACTTGTTTGCTCTGTGGGCTTGTTTATAAACTGCTTTCAGTGTTTGCAACAAAAATTGCATGCAAACTGCTAGGCACTGCAACTTTTGTTTTCCCTGGCCGCTAAGCCATCAGCGCAGACCCAAGCGGGCTGTTACACAGTGGCATCCTCCCACAGACGTGTTGCTGATGTGATGAGAACTGTCTGAGACCTTCTCTGCGTTAAGGAAATTCATTCTGGATCAGTGGTTGTTTCACAGAAGCAGACACCTATTACAAATACGGCACACTGGCACAAAGCAGGGTGTTAATTCCTAATGGTGTATGTCAAATTGGTGCCTGCTTATCTCCCTCTGAATTTCTTTTGGCTGGGGCTGGGAAGAGGGGACCCAGTTAGCTGCCCACCTCCCATCAAAGAATCAGGGGAAGTCCAACATCTGTAAAAGACTTAACATATGCAATACCTCAATCATCTGTTTTTTTCTGAATTTGCTGAGAGAATATGATGTTGCAAGGGAGCTGCATTCACCCCACTTTTCACACCCCAGAGTGGGATGAGGCACCCAGCTTCACACACGTCATGATCCCCATCCCAGAACACCATTGATACTTTCCTAATTGTCAGCTCAGCCAAAGTAGCTGATTGGGATGAATCTTTGGGAAGTGACCTAGTGTGAAGAAGAGCCAGCATTTCCACCTTTGCAAGTTGGATGCTTGCAAATATTTTTTTATAATTTGTAAGCACTTTTTGTTCTGGGTTACAGTGGTGGAGATGGCCACACTGTCCTTCAAGATAAACTGGTATGGGGCTAACACATTTCTGAGCCCCTCCCTCTCCCCGTGTCTCTTCCCCCCCCTTCCCCCATCCCCTTAACCCCTGGTGAATTACGGTGTTAAAGAATTTATACCTCATTTAAATATTCATGCAGTTTATACCCAAAGCCAGGCTTCGGCTGAAGTATATAAAGGTAGCATAAGTCAAAATTTGATTCACTATATTTACAGGTGACGGCTTGGACAACAGTGTAGCTTCCCCCAGCACAGGTGATGATGATGATCCAGATAAGGACAAAAAGCGACATAAAAAGCGTGGCATCTTTCCCAAAGTAGCCACAAATATCATGAGGGCATGGCTGTTCCAGCATCTAACAGTAAGTGAACTCTAGATCACATATGCAAAATAAAACATGGATAATGTCATAGTTGTAGTAGTCATAGAAAGCAAAAAATACGTATGATGTTGCTGCCAGGCAGTAGAGGGACTTTTCCCAGCAGAGTTGTTGTTGTTGTTGCCTCATTTGCTAGATGCCAGGGGAAGAGCATAGAGCGTATGTTTTTATGGTATGGGGTTTTTTCTGTGTGTGTGTGTGTGTGTTGTTTTTAGATTTGTTTGTTTGTTTGAGATGCAGTTGTTAAGAGGACATCACTGCCAAATGTGATTTTTACTTAAAGCTTATATGAATACAACCTTGCAGACCTGTCCTGCTTTGCAGTGGGAATCACTGCTTTGGAGCACAGAGCAGCATTTGGCCCCTGGTTCTGTGCTCCAGAGAATTGCAGAAAACAATTGGGGAGATTAAAAAACAAAGCCAAAAGCTAACAAAGACCTCATTCAGATGTTTGTCAGAGATCATCAGAAGCTTCATGATGAAAGGTCTGAATGTATCTGGTTTAATAGCAAAGTATAATTTTTTTCTTTGAGACATTCTCATTCCCAGAGTGTAAGTTACCCCTGTATTTAATGTTAGGAAGTGGTGGGGGTATGCACAGTTATTTCTGTTACCACAGCTACCTGTATGGGGTTTCTTATTCCTGGGATTAGAAATCAAAGCTCTGTACAGGTGTGTGGGGTTAAGCTGGATGCTGCTTTCAAGGCTTTATAAGGTGCACCACACCTTCTAGCATTAGCCTTTTGAAAAGTGTTTCTAATGCCATTCTCCTTCTTCATCAAATTGTGGTGATCTATCACTGTGTTTTTATCCACTGTGGGGATCTGGACTTTGAGCCCCAGGTTTTTTGCCTCAGCCTTTCTGTGCCAGGAGGATAAGGGTCAGGCAGGGGCTGCTGGAGTGTCTGCAGGTGGTGGTGAAGAAGGGCTCCTGCCTCTAACCCCAGTAGCTGACTCTTTCCACTGCCTGTAGCTAGGGTCAGGATGAAACTAGAAGCTGGCCAGCTTGCCCAGCCCTGGTGGGAGCTGTGCCAAGGGTGTACTCGTAAAGCAGAGGAAGTGCTCATGCACATCACCCCTCCATCCCCTGCTGAGCCAAGAAACCAGATATCTGCCATGACTCTTGTCAGCACGGGGATCAGGCAGGGAATCCTGTCCTGTGCGCTCCTGGGTCGCTATGAATGAACCTTCATGTTGGAGCCCTGCTCCTCGGAGGCCAGAGAGGGCCTCAGATGTCTCCAGGTTAATCTGTCTCTCTGGCAGACTCCATGTCAGCTGTGCCCCAGCTTTGCCAGGTCCTCAGCCCTGTCTGGTGTGTCCGGTGCCATCGCTTCCCAAAGGCTGAGGTGCCTTTGGTGTTGATGGCTCTCCCTTTGCAGGCCCTCACCCAAGATGAGTTGACACCTGGTATCTCTCTGCAGGTAGATGTGAGGTTAAGGACATCCAGCCCCAGAGCAGTCTGTGGGTGCTGTGCCAGCAGCAGTGTTCACACCAGCCTGATGCACCTGGTGTAGGTTCAGGAGTCAGGGGAGGCCCTGGAAGCTCTGCAGTCAGGACAAGGCACACTAGGAAATGCTGAACAACTGCTTGTCAGTTCCTGTAGTTTCCAGGGAGGAATTACAAGTTAAGTAGTATAAATATTTTTTTCCTGAAAGTGGCCTGTTGCTGTGTTTGTGCCAGTAAATAAAGCATCACCCAAATCTGAGCACAGAAACACAAAGGTCAGTCCTGGCAAACTGTTTGAGCAGTCTTCAGCACACTCTTAGCCTGGACTGGGTATGCCCCCTCCAAATGCCTTCCTGGAAATATGGCAGGAGGCTGAAGGGGTCTCTAAAAAGCCTTTGTGATGGGAGCCACCCTGTGTAGAGCATTTAACTACACGAGCTTGACCTGACCCTGTAGCTAATTCCATGCTTAGTCTCAGGACCAGAGAACAGACTGAACAAACCCCCTCACTGTTTCACCTGTGTTAGGTGCAGTTTTAGTGGCTTTTCACTCTTCTCCTGTGTGGTAATAGTGTCCAAAAGAGGAGAGTGCCTACTGAGCTTGCTCCAGGCCCCTAGCAGCCCCGGGGAGACAATATATGCACATCTGCTTGTAAGCTGGTCTCTGCTTCTGGAAGACTCAAATACAGAAAGAACCATTCCTTCCAGGACCTATGCAATGCTGCATTTTCTACCTTGTAACACTGAGCTAAAGCTTGCTTTAAAAATCCACTATTCCCTGTGCAGAGCCAGCCCAGGCATGTGAAACATGCAGGTTTTTTTTCAGGGCAGCTTTCTCCTCTCCTGGCAGCATGGTAGGTCCAGATTTATCTGATCAATTCAGTAAAACAGAATTGGTTTATCCAGTCTGACCTCCAGACAGGACCTTGAAACACACGCTAGGTAGGATCTTGGACAGTTTCCTCAAATTAAAACATGTCTGCAGAACATTGTAGGCTCTTCCAAGTGCTAGAGCAGCGGAACATGTTCACAGGCTGCTTGGGGTGCAAAAAAACACCAAAACATACCCAGGCCCAAAAAATGGCTGTGATAAGAGCTGAGGAGTAGTGGGTGGAGAGACTGAAGGAATTAAAACTCCTGTTCATTTTTGAGGGCATCTGGGCTTCATGGCTGCTCCTATAACATAGCACAATGGTATTTATGGTGTTCCCACCCAATGTCCTTGCTGCAGGGGGGAGATCATCCTGAGGAAACCACAGATCCCATACAGTTTGTTTATTTATTTATTTACCCATTTGTTTATCAGTGGATTTGGTCTTTTGTAGGATGAACACAAGGTCCTCCCTAAAGTGGGAGATGAGGAAAGACAGAGGGATAGTTCTGTTCAGGCAGGGGATGTCATGACTGGTGATACCTCCCTTTTGCCATCTGAAAAATGGCAGAATAAATGAGCAGCAGCTAAGTGCAAAATCCAGCATCCCGTTGACCATTGGTGCTTCCTAACTGGGGTGTTAGCTGGGAGTCCTCCTTTTTAAAAGCAAATTTTTCTCACAATTGTAATATTAATACACATCAGTGGCATGGAATTAAATAGACAGTAATCGCTGTGTCTGTCATACTAATGATTATTGGTTGGAAAGACCTAAAATAAATATTGAAGAAATATAGTCTTTCAAAAGTGGATAGGTTGGGTTAATTCCTTCTGTGCAGTTATTCCATCTCCAAGAGCTTTAAGTCTTCCTCTGTGTGCTGACTTCATTTCCGAAGGTTTGTCCCCTAGTTCTTGTTTCACGCTCAGGAGGAAATTAATTTTTTTCTCTCCGGATGCTGAAGTGTTTGGGCAGTAGTTCCCACTCAGTATCAGGCTCCAGCCACCCCCTCCCCCAGTATTTTGACTGATGTGCAGAACTGAGTTGACATATGCCCAAAGGGTAGGCAAGCACTGTCCTCTGCAGATGCAGGCAGTGTGCTCTGAAGCTTTTCAAGGGGTAAATCAGGGGATAAATTCATCCAAATTGCCCTTTTTTTTCCTCTCTTGGAATAATAACAACAAAAACAATCAGCTAAAACAATTGCAAAAGTGTTGACCAGACTCACACTTAGGACTTTGTACGATATTTTTTTAACTGTTTGCTGTTCTGATTTAATTTTGCTTGAACATCTGGGTTGGAAGAGCTGCTCAGGTGGGCTTTTAGTTGGGCAATAGGTACTTGTGGAGCTTGTCAAAATTTTCCATGGTAGCTTATGACACCATCTCACAAATTTGGAGGTTTATGAAATCTGTTTTTAGGACTTTGCTATAAATATGAGATGGAAGCTTGTTACTATCTGGAACAAAAGAAAAAAAAAGAATAATAATTTGGTGAAGAACTGCTAAAGTTGAGTCAAAACTGAGAAGATCCTTGTGGAGTGGCATCAGATGAGCATTATATGCCATAGCAGGGTCTGGATGAGGGACTGAGGCAAACCAGTTCTGTGCTGGTGCTTCACTTCAGAAAGTCACCCTAAGGATAATTTCAGGGTGTATTGCAGCCCAGCAGTGTTTTGCAGGCCTTTTAGAGTTCTAAAAAAAATTTTTTTAAAAATTTTTGTTTGATCACTTAGCCCATATTCAGGTTTCATCTCTCCCCCAAATTTTTCAAGCATATCTCCTCACTGTAATGTACATCCCTCAGCAGGGATTGTGAAATAAGGGAAAAACTTGGGGGAAGGGTAGGGGAATTAAAAAATAATCTTGCTTACAGTTAAATCTGTGTAAATTTAATCGTGGCAACAGAGTTAGTTTCTGCTTCAGCCCATCCTAGGCTTTTGTCCCAGCAATGGTATTATTGGTATAAATTGGTATTTAGAATTGATATAAATACCTCTTTGTTCAAAACTTGGAAAAAGGAGTTTGTGGGGTGTCTTTTCACGTGTTTTTTTCACTCATTGTGACTACTCTGCATCCTTTAAATCCAACTTAATTTAAAATGTTGGGATTCAAACCTCATTTTGGGGATTATACAATGTAATTGGTTTGTTATATGATGAGTATTTGATGATCTTCACATTCATCATCTAATCAAGCAAAAAAAGCCATAAAATTATAATCCCAAAAGATGTTTAATAACAATTTAAACTATTGAAGGCTTTATTTAAGCACATTAGGGGATTATAAACTACTCCCTTTTAATGGTGCCAAGAGGTAGATTCGAGGACTTCAAACACCTTTTAAAAAACAAATTGCCATGATTTAAAAAAAATGAATGGGCTGAGGATTTCTTTCATGTAAATCCCATAATTTAATCATTATTTTTAACTGCTTTTAAAACAATTTCCTTAAGAGGTTAAATCTTACTGAAAGGGGAGACTGAACAGAAGGTAAAAGACATGGCTGAAAGATGTTGTTTTTAAAGTGAAAGGATTTTTTCTATTATATATCTGTATTTTTAACCTTTACTGATTACTTAATGCCATGATATGAAACGAGAAACTTTAAAATAAGCAATATGCAATCTATTTAGTAAAGCTGTTATATGTAAAATAATTTACTGGAAGT